AATAGCTAGAACAGTCTTCAAATCTGTTCTCATTTTCCTCAGTCATTAAAATGTAGATCTATTTCAGGAGGCCCACAGAACTGCGTGGTTAAGAAATGCTCAAGTTCATTTTCTACCTACAATCAAAGCATACCTTTCTTTTTTCATAAGAGAGACTTTTTTTTTTCATTATGACCAAAGCAAATCACCTTCATTATAGAAAACATATATTTTTAAAAGGAAGAAAATTTAAATCACCCATAATTCCAATCAATGGATATATTTCATACTTTACATACTGTTTTATGACCTGTTTTTCTCATTGAACAGGTCTTTATAGTTTTCTGTGTCATTTAATGTAGAATTATTGATAAAATATTATTGTCTAGTATTCCACTGTACAAAGTATTTATTGTTAAAATAATAACAATAATTAACATTTACTATGGAATTAATATATGTCAAGCACAATGTTAAGAAAGATAATTTCATGCATTATCTTTCAGTAACTATATAGATTTTAGATATTACCATTATCCCAATTTTATAGCTGAGAAATCTGAGGCTTGGAGAGGTTAGGTAACTTGCCCAAGACACACTTACTAGGCATACTGCCTAGTAATAGAACTCGTGACTGGAGGACTTTGGATTTCCTCATTTTAAGTACTATAGTCTACTCCTTCCCTAAAATGTATGTAATTAATTTGCTTTTGATGGATTTTTAGGTTATTTCCAATTTTTCACATTTACAAACAGTCTGGCATGGGCAGCCTTGCATGTATGTATGTATGTATGTATGTATATATTTTCTAAACATTCATAATTATTAACTTCAGATTAATTGTCTTAAAGGGAATTGCAGAGATCAAGGCTATGTAAAATGCTAAGATTTTTGATAGGTGTTTTCAATTGCTTTTAAGAAAGGTTGTACAAATTCAAAATTCACCTTTCCATTGGCCCAGCAATAAGTGGAAGAAAAGAAATATATATATTTAAAGCCCATTCTGGATCTTGCTTTTCCCCCTGGAGCTTCACCAAGGTGGGAAGAGCCGGTCCTTCTTCCTCCTCTGCACGAGCATCACACTGTCTGCCTATGCACAACCTCATGCTGTACATAGATTTTGCTTGCTCCATTCCTTCAGCTAACTTCAAGTTTATGTAAGGTAGTAACGCTTCTTTTGGAAAGTAACATGGTAAAATGGAAAGAACATGGACTTTGGAGTTAGATAAACCAGTTTCAAGATCTCAGCCCTGCCAACTTCTCAGATATGCTTATTTAGGCAAGTCATTTGTCGTCTTCTAGCCTGTCCTGTCATCTGTGAAGCAAGAGTAACACCTCCTTCAATACATTATTATAAGCAATAAGTTTGTATGAAAACGTCAGTCATGTTGCTTGGTATACAGTCGGTGCGCGGAAAATGTTCCTTCTCCCTTTGTATTTCCCACACAATGCTTGATCTGCTGCTGTACATGCAGAAGATACCTATAAATACAGCAAATGCTTGTTGCCTGAGTACAAGTAACCCAGACAAGCACTAAGCATGCATGAGTGTGCATGTGTGCGCCCGGGCAGCTGCTCGGGGCCGGCGCCCCGCACCCTGAACCGCAGCACTAGATCCCAGTGGCCTGAAACGTGCCCAGGATCCAAATGTCTGAGGCTACGCTCTGTATATCTCTAATCCCGAGAATAGGGCGGAATTTGAATTCCCAGTTGAGGACAATTAGTTCTTCAGTTACCTTTCCAAGCTTCATATAGCCATAGGAAAACGAAGTTTCATAGTGAGCTAATTGTGAAGCCCTATCCTCTAAGGAGTAGACCGGTCAGAATTCTCTGCTAGTGGGCTCTTAACAGGAAGTGTCAACATCAGCCACACACCCCCTCCTTGAGGGGCAGAAACCATGGGCAGGAGTGATGTCCTGGGCCCCCAGTCTCTCCCTGTGGCTGCCTGTGGGGGCCTGGGGGCTCTGCGTTGTTTGTGTTTCTATCAACCCTTTGTCTTCGTTACTACTTCTTTGCCAACTGGTTTTCTTGTGGTGTATATGGTACCAGTGGTATTCAACCCCACCCTACCCCCTAAACAAAAAGCACAAAAGGAAAATCTTTAAGTATGGAGGGGTAAATCTTAAATGTCAAGTACCACGTTTACCTGGAAAACTTGGAGTCTGATTTCTACGAATGGCTTTTCATGATGTTTGTTCTTCCAATGCAGGCTGCTGTTCTTTTTTTTTTTTTTTTTTTTTGAAAGAGTGCTTTGCTTGACTGCTGTATATTTCATTAGTTTCTCCTTGAGAAACTGGGCTTACCTAGAACTAAGGCCCAGTAAGTGCTTTATTCTTTTTTTGTAATTATTTTTTCGTGAGTGTCTAGGAAGCAGCCTGGTGTAGTACTTGGGCCTTAGACAGATCTGGGCTGTCTCTGCCGTTTACCAGCTTGGTAACTTGGGGCGAGTCACCTAACCTCTTTGAGCTTTTTGAGTTTCCTCATTTACAAGATTGCTATAAGAGCTGCCTGAGGTCATGAATGAATAGTAAATCAGACAATGTGTGCAGTGCTGGGCAAAGTGACCTGCATAGTAGCTCCTAATTAGATGTCTTGGGACATTCAGGTTACAGCCCATAACCTGAGTCTTCCAGGACGGATGATGGCAAGCAATAGCCGTCGGAGGCAATGACTAGACAGAACCACAGCTAACTATATCTGTCAATCAATAAATAGTAAACGAGATGTCAATTTTCTTTGTTCTCCAGTACTTTGTTTCAATACTTCATTAAGCTGATTTAAACGTAAAATCATGAATCTACTTGACATTTGCTAATACTTCTCTTAATGTGACCTGCAGAGTCATAACTGGCTGAAGTGTTAAAGCAAATTAGATCTTTTCATCTATATCCCAAATGCAGGCACTGCCATGGCCAGTGGGGACCAAGAGGAGTTAGCTCACCGCAGGGACTTGAAGTCCCACGTCCCACATGCCCAGCTCCATCTTGCTTCAGAGTTGCTTTGGAACCAATGGCAGAGCATGTCACCATCTCTCTTTGTGGTTCCTTTCTATTAATGGAGAACTGTAATGTTTAGATAATTGTTTATTCACTTTTTGAGATGTCAAGATAGAAAATGCTGCCACCTTGGGAAACAGTAGTCATTGCTATGGGAGAGCTTCATGTCGATTGGAGGATGGTGGTATCGCGCTCCTCCCCCACCCACTGTGTTTGCCCAGACATTGTGTTCCAGGTGTGGATGCAGAGATGGGGGTGGCAAGGTGAGGTGTAGGCATTGGCAGGTCCTGTCAATTTTGGCCTTACCCTAGGAGCTCTTTAAAAGTTGCCTAGGATACTCATTGTTTAAACAGATCAAATCTCTAAAATGAGATGGAGAAAGAAACCTCTTGAATAAGATCAAAGACGACGAGGAAAATAATACACATAACCAAAGCATTAGACTATAAAGTCTGTTCGTGCTAGACCTTTCTACTCTTTCTCCATTGTTTGTTTCCCTTTTCTCCCCAGTAAAAAATTCGAGATCTTTTCTATCTGGAGCCTCATTGTGAAACCTTGCATAAGGCTTAATGTCCCTGGACCTTGGTTTTCTTATTTGTAAAGTGAAGGTGAAGGTTCCTTCCTGCTTTTTTATGTCTCTATGCTCATACATACCTCAGGCTTTTAGAATATGAATATCTGCTGATTTGAAGAAACATTAGGACAAAACAGAAAGTCACTTGAGCTTCCCAGGAGCTGGGGAATCATCCACGTACAATAAGATTCTTTTAAACAAGTTCTCTCAATGTTGAATTTTTCGTCTCCCCGAGAGCTCTATAAAAATAGTATTTCCTTGCCAGAGACATCAAGGCCTCAGAACTACTGCCCTCCTTCTGTGAACATATTATATGGTCTGTGTTTGGCTTAGGATCTTTTTAACAGACAGCCCAGCTCCGCTCCGAGAGGCTGACTCAGCAGAGTTCCTCCAGCACATTGCCGCGCTCTGCAGGTTCGAGCGCCCACCCCCCGCCAGCCTCCAGGCCGGCCAGGAGCGAATGCCACCTCTGCCCCTGTGCACACCCAAGGGGCACTGCAGCACTGCATTTCCCCTCATTTTCCTCAGGCGGTTAGAGCTTGAGCGACGCAGGTCTCATTTTTGTCCATGGCCTGGTCAAGAACCATGGCAGTCCTCTCAGTGTTCACCTCCTCTGCCCGTGCCATCAGCACAGCCCCTGCCGCCCACGTGGCCCCTGCCACCCGCACAGTCCGTGCCATCCGCCCCGCCCCCACGCCGCTTTCCTACCTGTTCCCCTGTCACCGTCTTACCCGCTGATCTGCCCCTCAGGTTCGCCGGACAGCCTCTCTCCTTTCCCTGATTGAAATCCCGACCTAACCCCAACGGTTTTAGGAGCAAGAACCTAATGTTTTGTTATGGAAGACTTCCATAATATACAGAAGTAGAGAAAAGAGTATACTGAACCTCGTGTACCCATCACCCAGCTTCACTGATCTTGTTTCATCTACTCCTTTAAACCCCAGGTTACCTGGAACTAGGTCTCACACCATGTATCATTTTTAGTTTCCTTGAAAAAAAAACCAACTCCTCCCAGTTTACTTGAGAGGCATAAGTTAACTCTCGTCCAGGTTTCATTTGATGTAGCCCAGCCACCTTTCTGGTCTCCCGGGCTCCCAGTCTGCTCAGAGGTAGAGGTCCCTCCCTGCTCTCCCCCAGGCCCTTTCTGGTGGGACAGCTGACAGAAGAATGGGAGCCAATCCACCTGCCTGGCAAGGGTCTCTGTGGAAGATGGCCACTTAGGTGGGCAGGGAAGGACACGATGCCTGAGTCATGCCTCGCTATCAAGGAGAAAGTGGACTTGTTTTTATTCACAATTAGCCACTACCACCCAGATGAGACACGTTGACCGAAGCACAGTGGCAGCTGTGATAGCAAGCCGATTTCCAGCCCTTGGCCCATTCCCTGCAACAGGTAAGGCTGTCCTCCTGTGAGACAGCTAAAGGTTTGTTCTGTCTGTCTCCATTTGCAGATGCAGTGGCAGAATGTGGAGCATGTTGGTGACCAGAGCCCCTATGTCACCTCTGTCATTCTTCACATTAAGCAGAACGTCCCCATCATCCGTGACAACCTGGCTTCTACACGGAAATACTTCACTCAGTTCTGCATTAAATTTGCAAAGTAAGTCCTGGAGCATTCTCATCCCTGGGTGATTTTGAGGCCATACTTACCGCCGGCACGCTCACAATCCAGGGTCCCCATCATCCAGCTAGAAAGGAAGTTAAAGGCAAAGGAGCTTAAACCCCAGAGATCAGCTGATCGGGAGGGAGGACAGAGGCTATTTAGAAGGGATTCTTCAAACCACAGCCAGGCCAGACAAGAAAGCAAGATTGAATTCACGACTGATTGCAACGGCACATGCAGTTTATAACCCAAGTTACTCTACAGTAGAGTAGGCTTCGGTTGGGGTGTATTCTAGTTGTGGCAGGCAAACTAATTTCTTTGTACCCAAAAGAAGCATAATAATGAAACTAAATCCACTGAAGTCATAGATGACAGTAACAGCAATGCCGTCACCAGCCACATCAAAGCAGACAGAAATGTGATGGTGCTGTTATTCTGAATTATGTGGACGTAACTGTGTCCCTGCCTCCCTCTGATCTGAATAATTAAAATTATTTTGGAGTGATTTCATATATACATTTTGTCTCTCCAATGAGATCATAAGCTTTTTAAGGGAAGGAACTATCAGTTCTATTCCTTTTGAACCTCCTCTTCCTCCTTCCCCGTAGTAGCTATTACTGTGGCTACCAGAATTTATCCACTTGTGGATGTCCTTGGGTCCAGGGAAGGTACTAGAAATTAGGAAGGGTCAGTCAGGGAGCTCCATTGCCAAGGTAGATAGAGTGCACTGCATGTCTTCCTGCCACATCCTTGTTTGTAGCTATTTCTGGCTGGAGGTTTTGAAGCAGAAATAATTTGGTCCTTTGCCAGCCAGCCAGCGTCTGGCTGTAGCTCTATTTCCCCCGAGACCAGACAGCGTAGAGGGTCAGTGCCTTCTCGGACCGATTGTCAACTAAGCACTTTGGCAAACTTCTCAGGAAAGGGCTTTAGGCGAGTCAGCCCAGTCCAAGCTACTGTACTTAGGTTGTTCTCTTCCAAGTCCCAAAGGGTGATTTAGGGCTCCAAGTTTCTGTCTTCCCCAAATATCTCCTTGTTTGTATTCAATTAAGGCTTTTCTTCTCCCTCACAAATAAATCCCTAAGGACCCACAATTGCGGAGTGGCTTGTGGCATACACTTCAGTTTCCACTTTGTCAAGCAAAGATAGAGCTGAGTCTCCAGGGAGGCGTTAATATTTGCAGTATGGCAGATGAACCAAGAGTTGACATTTCCTTTGCTCTCTGGGTGCTCATTAGGGTGTGTTAAAAGCATTGCTGATAAATCACACAGTGACACTCACCATAGCCCCCGGTAGAAACAGTATCTCTAAAAATTTACTGTGGCCAAAAATCTCCGGTGTGGTCGCACGGGGCTCTGACCGAGCTAACCCTAAAGCGAATTTACTGGGCTGGTCCCAGCGCCAGCCTCCCGTTCCTCCAGGGCCCTTTCCTTTCCCTTTATCACTGAGCCCATGTTGGGTCAGCGAGGAATAGGATGCCCATTTCACACATCTGGAAAAATTTAACCTGTGTTCTAGGACGCAGCTTTCTGATTTAATTTGTGGTACTCTCTCATCCTTCTAGAATCCCAGTGGAAGGCTAGGAACCTCAAAGGTGGGGGCTTGCCCATCCAAGAGCAATAGCCGCTGCCGCCCCAAGGGGATGGAGAAGCACACTTAGCAGTTACCCACCACATTGCTGGGACTTCTCCCCCAAAGACATGTCCCTGGTCCTTATATTTTCCTCATCTCACCCCCAGTAGACTAGCAGACACAGCCAATTCAAGGGCACAGCCGAAGCCTACTCTACTGTAAATAACTTAGGCTATGAACTGTGTGTGCCGTTGTAGTCAGTCGTGAATTCAGTCTCGTATTCTTGTTTGGCCCGGCTCTGGTTTGGAGAGTCCCTTCTAAACAGTCCCAGTTCTCCCTCCTGATTAGCAGGTCTCTGGCGTTTAAGTCCCCTTCCTTTCTTTTTCTCCTGTCCCACCAACGTAAAGTCATGCATGTTTCCTTTTGCCTCCATTTGGTCGCTGCAGTAAGGGCTTTTCCTGTTTAAACATTAAGATCACCCCTCTGAAACTACTAAGTGAATTCTCTTGTCCACTAAGCTGATTCTCCTCCATGCAGTAATGGAGATAATTAGACAAATCTCTTTATAGGGGTTGGGAGGATAAAATGAGAAGTCTTGAGTAAACATTCCGATAGATGCTAACACCAAGCTGACATTCAAAGAGCAATAACGGCGCCCTGGCCAGCGTGGCCCGGTTGGTCAGAGCACGGTCCCGTACGCCAGGAGGCTGCGGGTGGGTTCCCTGTCAGGGCACATAGCTGCGTTGGGGTTGTTTGCTCCCCAGTCAGGGTGTGTGCAGGAGGCAACCAATCGATGTTTCTCTTTCACATTGATATTTCTTTCTCTCTCTGCCCCTGCCAAACCTTGTCTCTAAAAATAAAAATTAAAAAACAAAAAAACCCAGTAGCCCCTATCATTATTATTTATTCAACACACATTGACTTGAGTAGCTGCTATGTCTCAGACACAGAATTAAGTGCTTTGACTTAAAAGATATCATCCCTATTTTTATTCGCCTTACAGTCAAGTGGAGGGGAACAAACGGGTGAGCAAATAAGCAAAGCAGGTTGGATGTTAGACTAGAGGTCTGTGGACTCTGTAGGATATGGCTGAAAGAATATAGCAACTAAGGAAAGGCTTCCTAGGAGAGGAGAGATGTCCTTGAGTGGAGCCCAAGAGACATGTGTGTAGTGACCCACAGGCCTTCGGGAAGAGCATTCCAGGCAGAGAGCGCAGTGTAGGCAAAGGCGCAGAGGCGTGAAATAGCCTGCAGAACCACAGGATCTACAAGTAGCTCAACCAGTTGAAGCACAGGGTACCAGGGCTTAGCATGGGGAGGCTGGGGACAGAGAATCAGGACAACCAGGGAAGGCTCTGTCTGCAGCCTCATAAGAGTTTTAATGAGGGGAAGGCCTTGATCATGTTTGCATTTGAAATAATTCCCCTTGGCAGCAGATGGATTAGAAAGGACGAGGCTGAAGACTAGGAGACCAGTTAGGAAAGAACTGAAAGGGCTCCAGGGAGAAAGGACAGCAGCCGCGGGAATGGCGGGGGGGGGGGGGGGGTTCAGGGGAAGAGCTGGCAGCTGACTGGATGTTGGGGTGGAGGGCAAGGGAGCCGTGTCAGGCAACCCTCAGTTTCCACCTTGGGTGACGGAGCGGATGAGATCCGGTCCGCGAGCCTGGATCCCAGGCAGGGCTGAGTCGTGGGTGTGCTGGGGCCGAGGTTCCAGCGGGACGTCCAGTAAGTCACTGGATGTTAGAGTGGGCACAAGGGTGCGGGCAGAGATGTGGCGAGATGGATGCGGATGGAGATCCCAAGCCTGAGAGCAGCGTTTAAAGAGTGAGAGGAGGGGTGCTAACCAGCCTTTACCTCCGTCTAAAATCCCGCTTTATTGCCACTGTGCCTTCTTTGGCCGTGGGCCCGGGTGACACCTCCAGGTCTGTCACTCCGGACCTGGCTTGAATACAGGCATTTCTAGCTCCCACACTTGCCATTCTGCTTTCCCTACTCAGGCCTCTGCAGTTTTTTCTAAAAAGCCCCCCTTATTAAAATTTCATTGTCCCTTTCCCCAAATCAGAATCATCATCAGCTCACCTGGCCCACATTGCCCGTCAGTCCCTAGGACGTTGGGGCAGATCACGTATTTTGTTCCTGATCTGACCATTACTCCCTTAACAATTATTTCCTGTTTTTGCATTTAAAGATCCCATAGGTACTTCAGAGCTCTTAGGATGTTCTCACCTACTAGTAATGGAAGCCGTGGCTCAAACTAACTTATACAGAAGGCGAACTTTTTATTTCCTATGACTAGAAGCCCAGAGTAGGACAAATGCAAGGATTCAGCGGTTCAGCAATGTCCTTACGGACCCAGGTGCTTCACCCTGCTGCTCTGCTCTGCTCTGCTCGGGGCTGGCTTCATCTTCAGGACGGGGGGAAGGGGCTGCCTTCATAGCCAAACACAAGAATACCCCGAAGAAGAAGAGAGAGTCTTACTCCAGCAGGGGATGATTGGGCCGTCTTCGGTCGTGTCCCATCTCAGCACCAACAACACTTCCCAAGGGAATGCCACACTTCGACTGGGAGGCTGATCGGAATTCAGCTCTGTAGTGTGGGGAGGGGCCAGCTTTTCCCTGGCATCCCAAGGCCATGTGCACCTGAAGGAAACCAGGGCTTTGGCTGGAAAGGAAAGGAAGGCGGCTGCGGGGCCACGGAAGTGTCTGCTTTGTTTCTCAGTTTCCTTATGGAAGGTAGTGGGACCTTAAACTTTTTTCCTACAGTTCTTTACAAAAGGGAATGGGCCTAATTTGTCACTTCCTTTTTATCCACAGCTCCTTCATTCCCAAGTTCATCACCCACCTCTTCAAGTGCAAGCCAATTAGCATGGTGGGAGCAGAACAGGTGAGATGAAATTGGTAACAGGGTCTTTTCTTTACGGCTTCGGTTGTAGATCAGAGACATACCTTTCTAGTACAGATGTGCTCTTGGAGAAATACAGTTGCTGGTTTCCCTTGTGTGGGCACAGTGTGATGACTTGCTGGCTTAATTTAGTCATCCATTTACCTAAAAAAAATTTTGTTGAGTACCTACTAAGTATCCAGGCGTTGTTCTAGGCATAGGGTACACCACAGTGAACAAGACAGAAGAGATCCCACCCTTATGATACTTACATTCTAGTAAGTTAAGACATATAACATACAACCTAACTAAGAAATTAGAAGGTAATTTCAACTTCAGTATGCTAAAGGGTATAAAACTAGGTTACATGAAAGAATGTCGTAGCAGCATGAGGAAGTAATGGCTCTGCCTGTGGTGGTCAGAGAGGGCCCCTCTGAGAGCTGAGTCATGACAGGGTCCAGGCAGAGGGCACAGCAAAGGCTCTGATTATTCGGGATCCGTGGCTGGTGCAGGGACCACGTGAGAGTAGCAAAGAAAAGCTTATCTTTTTCCGTGCTGAGAAACTGCTCACCTCGGCCAAGGAGCCTCCCCCATTGCCCTCTCTCCATTCACTGGGATTCTGTGCCTCCAGCCATCTCTTCACTGACTGTATCGCCTGGGCACTAATGAGCTGAGTTCAATGGTACCGCGAAGTCACCTCTTTGCAGCTATCACCAATTCAGACTACCAGAAGTATGTGCAGTTTGAGTTCAGAGAGCAGTTTAAGCTACTTTTTAAAAGAAACAAACAATAATATTCATCCCTTCATTCTTTAAAAAACATCTACTTAGATAAATTCTCATATATTCATTAAAATAAATGTTCTCCAGACCTCTACTTAGCAACACTTAGTGAAAATACCTTTTTTAAAAAAATACACAAACTCCATTTTTAAGTAAGAAGGTTATGTAATTCAAGACATTTCTGTAACTCCTGCTCTTCCATCAGACTAGTCAACTTGGTAGAGGCTCTGCTGTCTCCCAGTTCAGTGACTTGCCCCCACACTGGGCTCTTGTCTGCTGGTCGGTGACGCATCAGGAAGATGGCAAGTTGGCACATGCCCCAGTGCATCATGGGTCTCATGAAACATCAAAGCAAGAGCTGTAATCTCTATGAATATCGGGAATCTCTCGAATCTGATATGTACAGTGTGTTTTTATACTCTTTGTGAGTGAAAGAAGGTTATGAAAAGGCAGTATGGAGTGAGCATTGAGGTCCCAGCCTCCAGAATCACAGACACCTGAGGCTGATTCCTGTCTGTAATGTACCAACTGTTTGTCCTTAGACAAGTTACTTAATCACCTAGCATTTTAGTTTCCCCATCTATAAAATGAGAATAACCCTAGTACTGCCTCACAGGGTAGTTATAAGGATTAAACAAGATAATGCACTTAAGGTGCTTGGTACAATGTCTGGCACAGGGTAAGCCCTCGACAAATGCCAGCTCTTACTAATGTAAGCTTCCTCAGACCAGGGACATGACTTTGCTTCTGCTTTCATTTCCCATCCCCCTGCATAGTAGCACCTAGCCAACATTTGCTGCTGGCTGTCTGGCTGGCTGACCAGCTTTAACCAGGGTCAAAAACATGTATTGTCTCAGAAAACGTCCTGGGAGGTTGCATGGACTCAGACGCTGGCTGTCTCTGTAGCATCTCAGTCTTTTGAAATTCTTGACTCCTGCGTGTCGTAAGCATAGAAGTAATTCTCTCCATTAGAAACAGCAGCCTAATGCCCCAACACGTTATCTCCAGTTTCATCAGCACATGTTCACTGGGAAATGATCCTCTTCACCTCACTGTTATGTGTGGTCAGAGGAGATGCAGCGTGATTATGATCTGTGTATCGGAAGAAGCTTCAGCATTCTCAGTTACAAGGTTTCTGTCTCTAGACATGATGAAGCCACTGCACACAGAGTGGACTCATTGGGAACATGTTTTCAGGAGGGTGCAGCTTTGCCTAGGCCTCCTAGCTGATTTAGTGTCCGATGACCACGGTATTTTTATATTGTCACGTAAATCCAATATCCTATCTATTTTCCCCAGATTTTTCTCTTCTTTAAAAAAATGTTAAAATAATCAGCCCAGGTTCAAAGCCCATATCTTCAGAAAAATATCATTTTAGGCAGATTTACCCCTGCTTTGAGATGTGAATGAGAAAACCATCTGTGAAAGTGGAGTTTTACTTTCTCAGACCCCAGGCAGAGAGGAGTGGGTGAGGGAGAGCATGGATCTCAACAGGCCCAGCCTGGGGAGCGCATGGTGGGAACCAAAGGGCAGCGTGGCCCTTGAGGGAGTCCCATGGGGAAAGTTCAGGTTTAGCTGGGCCCATGCTTGCGCTGCCTGTGTGGGCTTACACACCTGGGTCGGCATGTAGCTGGAGGTGGGACCACTCAGGCAGCAGAAGCACAGGAATCAAGAAGTAACAAGGGTGTTCGCAGGCTGAACTAAATTGTGCCTCAAGTCTTGTAGTGGCTGTAATCCAAGCTTTAATAAAAATCGTGAAATGCAAAACTAAGATTTAGCCTAATCTCAGCTGCCTCTGCTTTGCCACAGAGGTACTAGATCCTAAATTTAGATTCTACGTTAATACTTGCGCTGAAAATAGGGAAGGAGATATTTTCCTGATATTTATTCTCTTCCTGATTACTGCATAGAGTGAATTACTTATCTTAGGCCCTAGAGTCCTCTTGAGCAATTGCAAGGGCACGTGGAACTGAACCATACTGGTATTTGTAATGCTTCTGGCTAGTTTGTGATTTTCAGAGTATCTTGTGGGATTTGCAAGGTCATTCATTAATCTTATGGCCATGGTATCTATGACAGAGAGCACAGCAGAAATGGAATCCATTTGTACAAACTCGCCATATAGGAAGCAGCACAGTGTGGTGTAGGGAAAAGAACTCTGAGACTTGAGGTCCAATCCCCCTCTGCTGTTAATGGTCCCTTTGATCAAAGCAGTTGCTTCTCTGTTCTGGGCTCAGTTTTTTTGTGTTTAGATAAGAACACTGAACCAGACACTCTAAGAACCTCACATAAGAGGAGTCATACATTATCTGTTCTATTGTGTCTGGCTTATTTTACTTAGCATGTCTTCAGGGTTTCTCCATGTTGTAACATGTTTTAGAATTTTCTTCCTTTTTAAGGCTAAATAATGTTCCATTCTGTGTATATACCACATTTTGACCATATTACCTTTTATAGTCACAGAATTTAAAACCATATGAAAAAACATATGTTTAGAGCAAATGTTAGATGTTTTTAAAAGCCCAAACACCAAGGAAAGGGTAAGAGAATCAGGTGATGTATACATTATGGCAGTTGGAAAAATGAGGCAGTACGATGGTTATTCTCAGGTGCAGTTCTTCTCAATAAATCTCAGTGTGGCAGAGTGTTTTGAAACTCTCCCTTTAAAAACAAAACAAAACAAACAAAACATGGATTAATAAAATTTAATTCCCATATATGATAGATTTTTTAAAATCTTAGCAAACTTAGGGACTCAAGGGAAATTGTTAAATGTGATAAACAGTATATCAAAAATTTGTGAGAGGGTATGGGTTACATAGGTAAATTCATTTGTTAAGATTGTAAAGTTAAGAATTGTACATTTCAATGTATGTAAACTTTACCTCAAAAGAATTAAGCAAGGTATAGGGAATGATTAGAAGAGGGTTTCTCAACCTTTGCACTGTTGACATTTTTGAGCCAGAAAACCCTTTGCAGCGGGGGCTGCCCTGTGCATTACAGGGTATTTAGCAGCATCCGTTTCCACTACTCACCAGTTGCCAGCAACACCCTCCCCATTCAAACAACCAAAAATGTCTCTCCAGACATTGCCCCATATCCTTTGGGGGTTTGGAGGGTGGACCAAATCGCCCCCAGCTAGGAGCCACAGGATCAGTCTGAGCTGAACATGCAAGAGAAGAGCGGCCGAACGCCTTTGGTGGCCACAGCTGAGTGGTGGGGGCATAGGGTTCATTGTACTATTGTGTTTACTTGATATGTGTTTGAAACTCTCCATAATAACAAGATTTAAAAAAATAATAATAGTGGCCCACTCATGTAATCCAAAATAAAATTTTATTTTAGAGTTGACACAGAAGTTCCATACTTTTGTGGTTAAACTAGCTTCCTTCTAGATCTTCTGATTGCAGAACTTATTTTCAGAAAAGGTAAACCCTCTCCCTCCTTTTTACGTGCGCGTGTGCTTCTGCCCAGATACTAGAGCCTCTCCCCCTTGCACAACACTTTGCTCTTTGTAAAGAGGTTTTTGAATCTCTGATCTACAGACCACTTACATTTCTCTGTCTGATGAAGCTGTGGCCCATCTTGATTTCCATGAGACTGTCCTTTCCCCTCAGAGCTCAAAGCCTCTTCTATGTCTCCATCAAGAGTCCTCCCTTTGTGCCACGCAGAGCCAGGGGACAGGCACGGCCATGCTCTAGGTGCCTTTACATCCATCAGCAGGGCCATCAGGGACCTGGAGACGGGAGGGCTGAACAAGCTAGTGAAATACTAAGTGAATCAGTTAATGAAACAAATTACAAGTATCATGGTTAATGGTCAAATGTAGGAAGATTTTTCTCTTAAAGATTTTTAAAATTTTTTACTTATTGATTTGAGAGAGAGAGAGGAAGATAGGGAGGAGAGTGCGAAGCATCGATTTTGTTGTTGTTGTTGTTCCACTTACTGATGCATTCATTGGCTGATTTTTATATGTGCCCTGACCAGGGGTCGAACCCACAACCTTGTCATATTGGTCAATGTTCTAACTCACTGAGCTACCCAGTCAGGGGGGAAGACTTTTCTCTCGACATTAGGAATGAAACAGGATATCTGCTATCACCATTTCTGTCCCACATTGCCCTTAAGTGCCAGTCAGTACTCTAAGGCAAAAAATAAAACGTTTTTAAGGAAATAAAATGTATACAGATCAGAAAGGAAGAAACAACACTGTTCCCTTCCAGTCAGTGCTCTGCCTTCCTTCCCAGTGAAGGCGACCACTCCTCTGCCCTCTGTTGCTGAAAGAGAACAGGAAGAGGGACAAGGCCTGGCCCCACCTTGGTCTGTCCTTTGGTCATATCTTGAACTGTCTGCTCCATGCCACCTTATTGAAGAAATTCACAGCACATATAGGGTTCTTTACCTTCTAGGGGTGTACCTCTGTCTTACCTACTCAAGGTTGTCACCACAACCGACAGCCACGGTGTCCCCCCAAGAACAGGGGGAGCTTTAAGAAATCAACCCCTCAAAGCTGCCCATTGCCGGGCAGTGCTGACCTTTCCCAAGAACAGCAGGCTGGCTGGCCCTGTATCGCAGTAGCTCTTCGACAACATGAGCCACGCCACTCCAAAGATTCTCTCTGAGGCTCCAACAAATTTGGCTGATGGCCCCCTCTTGCCCAGTGCTTTTGCCTAAGGACGTAAACTCTTAGCTATTTTCAAAGAGGGAAGCCAGCAGATTTTCATAATCAGCGGGGCCTTTCACCTTCGCTTCCTAATGACAGCTGCTAAGTCTGTCAGACTAGATCCTGCCTTTTGTGACTACATTGCTTTTTATAAAACCTAAGACTGAGGTTTCTACCTCTTCAGCTGTCTGGTGTGGACAGAATTTTATTGACTGGCCAAGGATCGAAAATGGTCATGTCACAAGATACAGTAGACAGTGGAAAATCATGTCAGGTTCATTCAAATCTCTTCCTGTCACTTAAGTCTATACAATTATTTATGCATATACTATATCTCTGGGAAGTAGGAAGTATAGAAAAAAAGAGTAACTATCCCCATATGTTTTAAAATATAGTCATTGATTTTCTTTCCTACCAACAAATAATAGTAAGACATGACTTTGATTTTGACAAGACTCTGAAAATTTGCTACCTGGAAGATAAAGTTGAATCCTCACCAGGACTCATATGGCATACTTTAAAAAAGAAGAAGAGGAAGATGAAGAAAGAAATCTTTCCAGTTAATAAAAGTGGAGAAAATAATGTCAAGCATACCAGCTCACCACTTAGTCTAATCTTAACATGCTCCCACATTTGCTTTAAATCTTTTTTATATAAAGTAAATCATTACAGTTACTGCTGAAGCCCCCGGGGGACCCTATCCTGCCATTCCCCTCCCTCCATGCCCAGAGGTAACTACTATACTGATTTTGATTTTTATCATTCCCATATGTGTTTTGATATGTTCAAATGATTTGTTTTGATATGTTACAAATGATTCACAAATGATATGTAATTTTGTTTTACATATTTTTGAACTTTATAAAAATGACACTATACATATCATTTCCCCATATGCTTTTTGTTGCCCAACATAATGTGTTTTGAGATTTATCCATGTCGATCTATGTTGTTTGAGTTCATTCAATTTAACTTCAGTATCATATTGCATTGCATTTGTTTATCCATTCTACCGTTGATGAACATTTAGGTTGTTTCCAGTCTTTTGCTTTTACAAACAGTGAATGCAGGAAATATTTTTAACATTGGCAAGAATTTCTCTAAAGTTTCTAAGTATGAACGCTGTGTTGTGTGTTATGCACATCTTCAAGTGTGTGTGCGTGTGTGTGTGTGTGTATGAATTTACTAAGAGCTTTTAATTTATATTCTCACCATAAGTATGAATTTCATTATACCATATCCATGCCAACACTTAATATTATCAACATTTTTGCTTTTGTCTATCTGATAAGTATGAAATGATATATAATCATGGTTTTAATTAGCATTTATTGGATTTCTAGTAAGATTAACCATCATTTCACATGCCTGGTGAGCGCCTAAATTTCTGTTTTTGTGAATTGCCTATTCGATTTTGCCCCACTATTTTTGTTACTATTGCTATTGAGTTTGCATGTCTTTTACAGATTTGTCAAAATCTGTATGTGTTCTGAATATTATTCCTTTGCCAACATTGCAGATATTCTTCCTGGTTTGTGCCTTTTTCCTTTGTTTATATGTCTTTTGATTAGACTTATTTTAAAATAGATTTTTCAGTCCTTCCTGTTTTTCACATTCTTCTCTACCCATAAGTAACAAAAATAACAGCTATTCTTTAAGTTTTTATATCTAGTAGTTGACCTGCCTGTCATTTAGCACATGCGCTCTTTAGACGCACACACAGGGACCTCTGAGGGAGAGCAGTGATCATTTCTGGGGGGAGGCGGCGGGGAGGTGCTGATGCTGAGCTCTCTATAGGGCCACTGCAACTTACACTCATCTCTCTGCTTGGCTGGGTACCTTTCTCTGTGAGCCAGGGCCTTTTCAAAAAAGAAATATTAGGAAAGTAAGAATTTTCATCTCTGGATACCTAGAAAAATCCAAATGCCCTAGCACTTGCCTGGTCTACAGTTGAATGACCTCCAGAGTTCAGGCCACTGACCACATTACTTGCTGCATGAAATTACTCTTTCCTTAGTGTAGCTTCCTCACCATTTTTTAAATTGAGTCTTTATTATTATTATTATTATTATTATGATGTATCAGATGGGAGCAGTAAATACCTACAGGCCAGAGTCCTTTAAAGACTAAAGGAGATAAAACATTCTTAACACCACTCCTGGCAATTGATGGACAATCAGGAAAGTTGATATCCTTTCAAATAATTCACATTGAAGAGACAATGACAAAAAGTGGGTAAAGGGGAAAAAATAGAGACAACTGTACTAGAATAAACATGATTTATAAATTTAAAAAAAAGACAATGACAAGAAAAGGCAGATTGTGCTAAGAGACTAATGTTAAATTTGGTTTAATTTCCTACATCTTCACTAGCATTTAGAGAAATTCACAATACAGCACTACTGAGTACTCTTTTTGCCTGTTGAACATACAAGATTTTTTTGAGTTTTCGGTGCCAGTGAGGCTGCAGTCTGCACTTCTGGCAGGTGTCAGTGGGCACGTTCCATTTGGAAAGCAGTCCGAGGTATGTGTCAATGACCTGAAAAGTGTCCTTATCCCTTGATGTGTCCCAAAGACTCTGCCTAAGAAAATACCATTGATAGACCTGGGATTGTATGTATATTATATGTATAAAGCTATTCAGCATTCATTATTTATAATAATAAAAATCTAGAAACAAGTTATAGGAGAATGGTTAAATATGTGTACTCTACTGTGCAGCCATTACAAATCATGATATTTTCAAAGACTGCCAAGATGGAAAAATAGAATTCAAAAGTTTCATATGTTGGGTGGAACAGGTCATTAAACTATGTACAGTATAATTCTAGGGGGTTTTTTTATACACACACACACACAGACTGGTAGGAATTATACCACATTTACTATGGCTTCTTATTTTTTCCTGGGTCATGGGAATTATAACTAATGTTTATATTAGTTATTTTCCAAGTTTTATTAGTTGTTTTCCAAGTTATATTAGTTATTTTCCAAGTTTCCTCCAGTGAGAATGGATTACATTTGAAACCAGGAAAATGTTACTAACCCACATGGGTATACTAGGCACTGTGTCCGTAGGAAGTGGCCAGTCACGCTCTGCTTTGCTCCCACAGCTGCTGCTGGACACCCATTCCCTGAAGATGGTCCTGCTCGATCTGCCCTCCATTGGCTCACAGGTGGTGAGGAAAGCACCCGCCAGTTACACGAAGATTGTGGTGAAAGGCATGACCCGGGCGGAGATGATCCTCAAGGTGGGGCTCCTGTCTTCGCCGGGGTTTCTGCTCAAGGGGGCTGGTTGCCTGGTTGCTTATTCCCAGGAGAACCAGTTTCGAAAGCACAGGCGACGGCCTGTGCCTACCATTCCCTAAGGACTGTCCACATTCTCCGGTGGCACTAGATTTTGGCCTCATCAGACATTGTTGAGAATCAGTGGACAGTTCTTTGGGGGTCAGTAAATCTTCCTGACAAATGAATTTTTCATTGTAGTAAGATTCTCTTGTAATAAGATTTGGCCAAAATTGGAAGTTCGGTGGGGCTGTTTCTGGGAATCGGTGTCTGGGTCAGGGGTCCCTTTGCTTCTCGGCAGGTATGGACAGCCCCGCTGTCGGTTCCTCCCTTCCACAGAGGCCTCTGGGGCTTTCCCAGCTCTGCAGCTTCACAGGAACTCCAGATAGATGTTTCAGTAACGGGCTCTAATCAGCGAATGGGTTTTCTAAAGCCCCATTTAACAAAATGTTGCATGTGGGGTGATGTTGCAAATGTCTGAAGCGTTAAGCACCTGCATCTGACGCTCACCTGTGCTTGTTGAGAAGCCAGGGGCCTGTCTGGGAGAAGGGAGGAATAGAGGGCAAACCGAACGATTGTGAAAGCTCTTAAAAATCCAGGGCCCGCAGGCTCTTCGGGTCTGTCTCCCAAACAGAATGACCCTGATGGTAGCAGAGGAAACAGTAGCCGTGGGACCTGAGACGGGTGGGACCGGGTGAGGGTCCCACACAGACCTTGAGCTCATGGCCTGAGGAAGCCGGAAGCAGCCTGGCCATCAGCTTCCTCTGCAGCTGGTTTCCTCACCAGGGAGGAGAGCGGAGTTCGGGGATTATCTGCACAGAATTTCTTTTTTTATTTTTTAACTTTTCACAAATAACTTACATTTTCTCCATGGTTCCTAAGTATAATAAAATATTTCCCTTAGTGAATTTGTACCTTAGGTACAAATATTTATGAAATAATTAACACCAGTTTTCCAAGATGAGCGTGATAGCAAACACGTGCTCAAACCATCTTGCTGTTATTCCCAGACAGAAAAATAATCTTGAGTATACTTGACTTGCTCAGAAAGTCATTAAAGTTTCGTGTTTATTTAAAAAATGTGACTTCATCTTTGTCTCATGACTTTTGTACTTTGAAATGGGAGAATGACGTTTAGACATTTCTGCAGTTTCTGAGCGAACTTGCCACTCTGAGTTACATGCTCAGGGATTCAAAACAAAACCAGCCTGCTGGGGGGAGAGAATCAGACACCGCATTCCCAGAGCAAACGGAAATGAGTGCAAGGGGTCTGACTCCATTACTTTCCCTCTGCTTCTCTGCTACTTGGATGTAGTTAAATGAAGTTCCAGATTTCAAGTCTTGAAAAGAGTGAGGCAGCTTTGCGGTTTTTGTTTTTGACAAAAAGTCTACTTAAATCGGTGCCTTTTGCTGCCCAGTCCTCAGGAACAATGAAATGTCAAGGCACAAGGCGCAGGTACCACAAAACCACGAGATGTCTCCAACAGGAGACCCTCTTACACAGTTTCAGATGGTCCTGATATTTTAAAATTCACCTGGGACCCCACCTCGGCCCTCAGAATTAGAATCTTTAGAGGAGGGACTTAGGAATCTGCACTTAAAGACCCATCCAGGTGACGTTTATGATTCAGCAGATTTAGGAAACATGGCTCCAACTGACTTGAGATGAAGCAGGCCATCGGGCCCTTTCTGCACTTGAGATTGCTGCTGCTGAAGGCCGCCCTGGAGAGTCTGCCCCGAGGTCGGCCCTCCGGTCGGGAGCTTTCCCTGAGAGCCTGCTCTTGTCTCTGTCCCCTGTAGGTAGTGATGGCCCCTCACGAACCCTCGGTGGTGTTTGTTGACAACTACATCAAACTCCTCTCGGACTGCAACACAGACACCTTCCAGAAGATACTGGACATGAAGGTTAGTTCAGGGTCCTGTTTTGTCCCCAAGCACAGCCTTCTCGCACTCAGCGGTTCCTAGCTGGGGGTGGGATACAGGCCCCTGGGGAACTTTCTGGAAGTGCATGTGCCCACCCCGCATGTGCTGCAGACTTCATGCAGAGGAGCCCTTTGAGAAGGCTCCCGGGCATGTGGGCTCCCTGACTGCCTCCACGCGCATGAGAGCCACTGCTCAGAGGAAGGAAGGGAATGGAGAGTAGTACTTTTCCCACCCTGTTTACCTGTCCTTTCTTCCCTCTCTTCCTCTTCTTTCTCTCCTGCCCTTTTACCTGTTTTTCTTCCTCCGCTTCTCCCCCAGGCTATTGCCCAGGGCCGGTAACCACCCTTGGAGAAAGTGTTAATCCTCAGCCCAGAGTAACCATGCTGTTGCAGGGCCTCAGCTAAGGGCATACCTACCTGATGCTGCCCTTGCCCCTCAGGCCTTCCTGCGGCCAGGCTTCACTTCCTGCTCCTTTCTCTTCCCTCCCCAGGGGCTGAAGAGGAGTGAGCAGAGCAGCATGCTGGAACTCTTCCGCCAGCGGCTCCCCGCGCCGCCCTCGGGGCCTGAAGGCTCCAGCTCACTGTCCCTCTTGACTCCGACACCAGAACAGGAATCATCCCGCATCCGCAAACTGGAGAAGCTAATTAAAAAGAGACTGTAGGAGCGCTGGCCAGCGACCCCCAGCGCCCGACTCCCTGGAAGCCCCCACCTCTCCTGTGCTTACCCCGACTCTCAGATTGTCGATCTTGAAACTTCCTGGGACACTTGGGTTGTTAACGTGCCTCTCCCACACCCTGTCTTCATTCCTGTCGTAATTGGAGAAGCCAAGTTAAGGGCCGGGTTACAAACAGGCAGCTCTGCTGGCCTCTGACTCCGGCAGCAGAGGCAGCACTGGGCGAGAGGGCCCCGCACACCACCGTTGCATGGCGCCGCTCTCAGCTGCTACCGTCGTCACTGACTCCGTGGCCTCCCCCTCTGCTGTCTCGCCCCCTGGCATGTGGCCCTCATCCCTGCCATGCGCCTGTCCAGGCAGCTTGGGTGACCACGCCCAGATCTTGCCTGTCCTCTGCCTGCCACTGTTGGAGGTTGGCTCTAAGGGCCCGAGTTAATGAAGGGGCAGGTACAGGTGCAGGAAATCGGTCCTTCTCTATGAGGGAGATGGAAGCCAGAACACTCTTCCGAGTGAATCCCAGTTTAGGTACCTATTTTGTTTCTGGTACTTTTCGACTCGGCCTCGTTATCCCTGTATTCTCATTTCTCATGAATCTCCAGTTTGCCCTGTATGTACATCCACAGGAAGATTTTTCTCTTGTGTCTCCCACGCAGGGCTGGGTGCTGGGGGCTCCCGGGCAAGGTGCAGGGACAGACCGGCATCTGCCTGGGAGAGAGGACTATAAACTTGGCACATGCACTGCGTGACGTAAGAAGGTTATTTCCTCCCTTTCTAGGGGAGGGGTTGCCTTCTGTGAAGGGAAACCAGGACATTTCCCTAGAAAAGGTTTTCTAGGCCTTCTGCTCAGATGAAGCTCTGGGACAGCCCAGGAAGCAGGTACCCTCTAAGACCCTCCCTACCCCTCCATCTTCAAATGCAAAGTACTTCTGCAGAATAGTCTGAAAACAACAGAGGAGGAGCGGTGCCCGAGTGACGTTACTTTATTACTAACGAAGAAGAAGCCAGCCCGTGGGTCCTCAGTAGCAGACTGCTGGCCGTGCGGACCACCTCGGAACCAGGCACAGCCCAGTGTGCACCCGGCCCGGCCCATCCAGCCTGTCCGCCGCGGGCCCTGGGCCAGGGCAGCTGTGGGGCGGGGGCGCTTGCTGCCCAGAGCCGCTTCCGTCCTCGTGCGGCGTCCTGCACCGGGACAACGGGTAACAGAGTTGCCCTGGGTCACCGGTTCCCTGGAAACCAAGCCTCCTATGGCTCTGGTGACCATGAGCCTCAGCATTTGTTCGGGAATTGTGAACAGTGTGGTGGCCAGGTAGGGCAAGAGCTAAGGAGGAAGCTGGGGGGTTTTACAGAGAACGCCTCAGGATAAAATTGGGATCTCAAGTAGCCCTCAGGATAGAGGAAGTGGCCTACAAATTCATAAAGCTTGTGACAGCGATACAGTGGGAAACCTGAAGGTTTGCAAATCTGACCAGAAACTGATTCTCTCTCCCCTTCCCGTCTTCCCACTGCAACCACCCCACACCGTCCGTCCCCTCCATCAGCTGCTCCCCGAGACGCGGCCCGCGGCCCGCCTGCATCCGGGGCCTCATTTCCTCCTCAGCCTGCAGCCAGTTCTTGCTAGTCCGTCTGACTCACGTACTGAGCGTCTAAGACTGGAGAACACTGAGAAGAAAGTAAGTGGCGTAAGAAAGAGGCGTAGCCTTTAGCTGAGCTCAGTTAGGAAAAGATGGCTGTTCCTATAGGGAAAGTGCGGGCAGCGTGGCAGGTGGGTTTCGCCGTGCCCGCGTCGCCCTGGTGAAGTTACAGGCCCTGCACCAATTCTTCCCGCTTGTGCAAGAAGGGGCGGTGGGCCTGTCTCCAGAGAGCACAGTCACTTCAGCCATCTGTCATCGACCTAGGAAGCCAGAACAGCCAGTGGGCTGGGGCACCTGGTTCTTGTCACCCTTGGTGTCTAGAGACCCACGCTTGTTTGGTTTGTTTGCAGGGAGTCATTTTCTGAATGTCTCCGTCATGGCAGGGAGACGTCAGGCCCCATTCTCCGCAGGTTGGCGGCCGCAGCCGGGAAGGTGCTCTCCTGGTTTATTGCGCTGTCAGTAACCTCCCAGGAGTTGGCGGGAGTAACGTGCTGAGTGTCTCAGTGAGGGGGTCTGAGCCCGCGTGAGCGCCCTGTGAGAGCGGAGGGAAGGCCCCCGAGTCACCTGGGGCTCCCGTCAAATACAGGTGCCCAAGATCCGCATTAGTGAGCCTGGGGGGTCCTGGCACATGGGTTGAGAAGTTCCATAGGTGATTATATAACACTCCTTGTTAAGAACCATTGCAATAGAAATTTGCTTTATTGAACGGTTCCTATAGCACATTTTCATAACTGTGTTTTTCTGGCCCTCTAAGCAAGTGAAAATACTGTACGATTGAACCTCTACCAACACGGTAAAGATTCTTTGCTGATAGCAGCTTTAGTTTTAAACTTGCATTGATAGTAGGGATGATGCCAGAAGATGTGCTGTCCTCATACTCATTAGTTTGAAATACTCAAATTCATTCCTGTTTGAAGAGCCAAGCCCCACAAGAAGGTTTATTTATTACTGTCACTTCGAAACAACATATGTAAAGGAGCAGACATTGATAAAAATGGTAGCTAACAACTCTGTTATTAAGCTAAACTTAGATATTGTTCATTCCTCCAAGTGTCTGTAGCCCCTTAACGAAAAGTTTGAAGTCACTTTATGTGGTAAAAATAAATGCTAGTAATTTACAATTGGTAACGAGTTCGCTGCTGCTCTTATTCTGGACTGACTTCCGGAGAGCTGGCTGAGAGGTGCCCAGGCTGGAGAAAGTTCTGTTTGGATCATCACGGGGAACCACAAAGGACAGGGTGTTTTGACCTCCAAATTCAGTTCTGGCATTGCAGTTAATGATCGCCGCTCCTCCCTCCCTCTCTTGAAGAACGAAGAACCGGTACTAGGACTGGCTCGCCACCCAGGCGAGGGTGCCTGGGTGGCTCCTCAGCACAGACCCACCAGGCCGAGCAGCCTGTCAGAGGCCAGTGCGGCGGGTGGGCGGGCAGGGCGGGTGGGCAGGTCCGAGGCCGCTGCCCAGTGCCAGGCATGGTGCACCAGCGAGGGGAAATGCCCAAAGCTCAGCTGGAAATGTCATTGCTCTCCCTAGGAAGAGAAATCTCCAAAATAACTAGCTTGCTTGAGGGTGAAAGCAAGTGTTTCACACTTCTGTCTACTCCAAGTGAGATTGCTAAAAATAAAATTATGAGAACTCTGCATCGGGCCACTTACACAATGCCTTGGAAACATGGGCACATGAAGAGCTGGCATGCACAAAGAGCGCTGTTGCATTTTATACAGTAAATAAAATTTCCAGTCTCATTCTAGTAGTTATCAGAACGGATAGCCTCCCGGACCCTCAAAGTTCTCCACAGCTCTGCACCTCGGGGAGGTATCAGTTTCCTTAAAGAGATTGCTTTTGCGTGTAAATAGCTTTCATTTTCCCCATCTGGAAGTAATTTCTTGGTGCATATTGGAGCATGAAATACTGTAGTTAATTAAAGCATTACTGGGTGTCATTTGCTAGGATGTATTTCCTCACTGTTGACAGAAAACAGAGTGGACCATATAGGAAAGAATTAGCAAGCCCATGAACCTCCAGCTCCCCTCTGGGCGTCTGCCCTTGTCCCCGGTGGCCCTGGCCCCTGTCCCTGCCTCCTGAGGAAGCGGGCGCAGCTCGGACTAGTGTTCCTCACAGGGCCCCGCACGTCCCGCTGAGGTGGAAACCCTCTCTGTAAATGTGAATAAAGTGCTCTGCTGCTGATTTGGAACCTTCTTGTGCCCTGAATTTCTCTCCTGTTTACTTCCCCTTCCCTACCTTACCATCCCAGTCACGGCCTGCTTTTCCACGTGACTACCTAAGGGATTTCTCTCCTGCATGCAGTAAGTTAATCCTGCTTCCTTAATAACTGGGTGGGCATTCTGCAATGAACTTTTTGGGAAGTCTGATGGTTCTTCCAGCAGTGGAAAATCTGCTGCAGCACTTCCATTCGGTTGGCTTCGAGATCATTACCTAGTTTCCATCCCTCGTTTTCACCAGCTCCCTACTTTAATAGGGTAGCCAGGGATCAATCTGGTGAGAAAAGAAACACTTGCATATAACGCACTGAGAATGGCAGTGCCAGACGATTTACCTGCGAGGTTTTCTTCCTCACCTAGCTAACCGGGCATAAGCAGGGAGATAAGAATGTGTCCATTTGACACAAAAGCAGCCCAGGATTGGAGACTTCTGAAGAACACCTCGTCTCCAGGTCTGGTTCCAGCACTTCTGTGTCGGGCGAGTCATTGGCCCTCTGAGGCTCAGTTTTCAATCTGTGAAATAGGATTGTAACCAACAGGGCTATGTAAGTCACCCAAGACCAGGTTGCGTGCACATGCACTGTGAGCCAAGCAGCAGGATGAGATGCGATGTATTCATGGGCAGTCGCTGAGCCTGACCCACACGTGGCAGGCCGGACTGCACGGTTGGTGTACAACACCAGGTAGGTGGCGGGCTTTTCCTTCCCTGAACAGGCTTGAGCAAAATATCCAAGTGACGACTTACCCGCTGCTGCGTGCCGGCCGCATCCGCAGCAAGCGTCGCAATAACCAGTCTTTGCCTTTTTAGAACATGATTGTGATACCAACTTATCCAAGAGTTTTCAAAGGCTCTCCATCCTCTGTTCCTGTTGCCCCAGCAGCTGCCTTTCCCATGGCTTTTAGGGATAAACCTGCAGGCACTGAGAGGAGAGCGTCCTCCCTCCTGGTGGTGCCGGCTGGCCTACCCACTGTGGGAAACAGGGCACGTTTCCTCTGAATGCAAGTTAGGAGTGTTGCTGAAGGCTTCCTTCCAAAAAGATTCTGTCTAATATGGTATCCACAGACCAGACTTCCAAGTGGCCATTCCTGGCAGGGACAAAATTCTTGACTGTACTTTTTTTTTTTTTTTTGACCTACAATGCCCAAAAAATTCTAAGCAAGATTATCTTGGGAAGCCTGAGGTTCACCAGCTATTTGGATAACTTGGCAGTTGCCATTCAGAGAAGTTCGAGCTTCCGCAAGGCCAGCAGACTCCCTGGAATCAGCTGGAAAGGACTCATCTGGCTCTTCCAACCCCCTTTGGGTTAGTGATGCAGAGCGAGCTGGGCGATGGAGTGATGTTCAAGTGAAAACTGTTAATGCCTTTTCCCCTAGGAATGTTTATCACTTAATCTGAGCGCTCTGGTAGCTTCTGCTCAATAAGCAAATGGAATTTGCACAATTGCCGGCCTCCTCCTGTTTTGGGGTAATTTTTCAACAAGTGAGATATTAAGAACAGCTTCTCAACAATCTTCCCTCGACTTCTGGAGCCAAGGAAAGCATTTGCAAAGTGGACTGCAACCTTCGGGGGTGCCAGGTGAAATGGCAAGAAACTCCAGCTTTTTCCGCGTGGTGGCTTTATGCTGATGGGGAAGGAAGGCCCTTCGCAGACAGGGGACACCACCGAGCTGGCTGCGAGGGAGACCGCACTCTGAGAATTCATTACAGACTCAAGTGACTGCGATTGGGCTACCGGAGCAGCCACTGAAGAGCTTTAGCAGGCAAATAGGAAAAATATCAAATGTTGCATAAAGAAAACGAGAGTTCACACGCAGAGACACCCCCCATGACCCCTACCCCCGCCTGTCGCATCACTTGCACCGCTCTCGCAGGGTCCTGCACACGTGTTGCCTGGCTTGCTGTCGGAAGAGGGTGCTGGCGGCAGTCAAGTCCAGTCCGTTTAGCCCTGGGCCTTCGCTGCTGCCCAGTGACTGCCTGGCACGCAGATAATTAATATCTTTGATCAAGAAGGGGACTGAGAGGTCTGAATCAGTTAGTGCTATCTGTACATTTGGAGGGTATGCAGGAGGGGGAGGGACAGGGAAATAGTTACTGGTATTTATTGCCCCTTAGATACACTATGATACCTCAACAGATAAAAACCCGTTAAGTAGGTATGAGTAGCTCCCTTCTGTAGGTACGGACCTGGGGGCCGGGAGGCAAACGACACGCCCAAAGCTCCGCGGCTCCGACCGCCAGGGCTGGGCTCGCGTCTCAGGCCGTCATCCGCGCTCTTTGCACTACACCAGTGGTTTTCAAATGCAAGGGGCACAACGTTACAAAAACAGATAAAGATATTTTATTAATACATTTTATGAGTTCAAATATCAAAATATCAAAGCAAATCAGTGAGCACACTGAAACTTTCAGTAAGTAGAAAGCATTTTATTTTTTAATATTTTATTTTAAAACATATTTTATTTATTTTAGAGAGAGAGGAAGGGAGGGAGAAAGAGAGGGAGAGAAACACTCATCCGTTTCCCCTCTTACCTGCCCTGACCGGTGCCCCGGTTACCCCTTGCTGTGTGGGATGACAACCAATCCAGCCACACAGGTCAGGGTTGTAGAAAGCATTTTAAATCTAAGTTTATGGATGAGAATTTATGTATTATCAACCCCCAGCATTCAATTTATTTCTGCATCTTGCTTTGGTTGCATAGACTTTGGTTGCATGATTTAATTCAGCTAAGAATTTGTAAATAGCTTTTGTTTTGGTTTTTTTAGTTTTTGTTTTCTTTTGGTGTGGTGGTGGTGTTTTGTTTTGTTTTTAAACAGCCTTTCTTTCAAGTCCAGATACTCTTCAGTCACACAGATGTGACAAGGACACTTTGTGGTGAGGCCTCCGGGGACCCAAACTGCCCTGGCAGCGCACGTTAGCACGGAGGGTCGTCCTGGTCTTAAACATTTGATGCCTGTTGTGTTATTACAGTTTTGAACATTCAGTGTTCAGGATAGGTTTAAAATATGCATTCTTAAAGGGAAGTGAGGATCAAACTTCTGTGGAGCTCCTTCGCTCACCAAGATGCCTCAGAAGAATTCCCGTTTCCCTGGAAGTCAGTGTGGAGGCGCTGCCCTCATTAACAGCTTAATGCTCGTGGTTTTCCGAACTGAGGGGTTTGGTGGTGTCACATGCGTACAGGAAGGAGCACCATTTCGTTTGAAGTTCGCCACCCATTCAACAACACATTGGAACTGTCACCCGCTCCTGTTGCGGGAGTCTGGGGGGCTACCTCCTGGGTTGATCCTGGCTGCCTTTTGCAAGGACAGAAAGCAAGGAGCCCGCCCCCACCCCGTGCAAGGCAGCTGTGTTCTAAGGGCAAAACACTGCAACTGAAATGGGCCAAGGGGGCTTGGGCAACACAGGAAAGGAAGCCCGTCCTGCTTTCAAAACCTGCACGGCCCCAGTCCTTACCCCTGTGGGCTTGCACTCTGTATGCAATGCCGCCTAACTTTTTCAATACCAGGTACAGGAGAACTGTAACATTTGTATTCCTGTGACCTCTCACTTGGACAAATCAGTTTCAGAGGCTGCTCGGGCCAGAGGTGATGGGCCTGGGGACTACGGCTGCTCCAGGGCACCCCACGCCTCCCACAGCCCCAGGGCTAAGGGATTAATGCAGGCATTTGCTGGCCACTGGCAGCCCTCCAGCTCTCTAGGTAGGAAGCTCTGAGTTGCAGCATCCACGTTAGATGGTATGTTGGTTTATCTGTTTTTAGAACTTAAGTC